ACTAGTACAAAATATTGTATAAACTATAGTGTTGCTGTAAACTAGTACAAAATATTGTATAAACTATCGTGTTGCTGTAAACTAGTACAAAATATTGTATAAACTATCGTGTTGCTGTAAACTAGTACAAAATAATGTATAAACTATAGTGTTGCTGTAAACTAGTACAAAATATTGTATAAACTATCGTGTTGCTGTAAACTAGTACAAAATATTGTATAAACTATCGTGTTGCTGTAAACTAGTACAAAATATTGTATAAACTATCGTGTTGCTGTAAACTGTCAACATATTTTATTCACTGAAATCCAAATAATTTCATAACTATGCTATTGCCATAGCAAAGCAATATTCATACTGTTAGCTCATCATGGACATATAGAGATCATATAATGATACATGTAGTTTATTCAACACTAAGAAAAAGCAGTGAAACAGTCTTAGGGTTGTAAGACAATATGCCTGGGTTAGTTATAACAATTACAAAAACACAAACAAAATATAATTTATAAAAAAATGTTTGGTGGGGTCGCAATTAGTAGCATATGTGCTTACATAATTAACTGCGGTATGTGTAATTTCAAACTCATATTCTAATGATCGAGCATGCAATAAATTCAATTTTGACTTTACTTTAGGTGCACTTCTATTACCCCCCCCCCCCCCCCGGTATGATATGCTTCTAATATAATATGTGCAAACTTGTTATGACATCATTAAAAAATTTGAATTATTTCCTATTATTAGTTCACTGATTTCTCAGAAAGATTTAATTTATAACAATTCCAAACAAATACAAACAAAACATAATTTGAAAAGAATTGTTTGGTGGGGTTGCCATTATAGAATATCTTCTCACTTCCATGACTGTCTGTGTATAGACAGCCTCTTCCAAAGTGTTTTTTTTGTCATTAACTCAATAATAAGATGATCAAGAGGCATATTTTAATACATGTTTGAATCTAATTTTAAATTGAACGAATAAATTATCTTGCTGCATTCTATTATGAAATGATACTGTATATAATCATTGTTGTTTTACATTGTGAAGAATGGTGTCATTAGAACCATTTATAATATATGCTATTATTTCATCATATGAAACTTATTACTTTTTAATCTTATTACTTAATGTTATTGTATTGGTACAGATCAGTAGAAGAAACGTTTAAACTGTCTACTTTATTGGCAACTTTAACTACGTTACCATGTATGTGTGTTATTGGACTTGATGCAGATAGCTGGGCTCAGCTGTTCACTCATAACAGGTCAGTATTTTTTCGTTTTATAATTTAACATGATTGGGTTTGATCTGATGTATGGTAGGTACAGTGCTTTCAAACTACATGTATATATCTGTTTTGTCCTGTCGGTCAAGATTTCCCTATGGTGTTGCCAGTAAGGTATTCCTTATACTAAATGATCTCGTACAACTGTGTTCTAATAAACTGACATTAAAAATGTGTTTAATTACTTCAGACCAGTGGTTGGTATAGAGAGTTGTTTGCAGCAAACTACAGTAATGACGTTGGTTGGTGCCTGGTTAGGAGCATTTCCAATCCCGTTGGACTGGGATAGACCATGGCAGGTACTGTGTTTCAACATTTCTACTCCATTATCGACCTTGTCTTCTGATTTTCCCTGGTAACAACTTTGAAAAATAGCATTGATTTTGTTGATACATACAGTTAAGCAATATAAATGTCCCGTACTGGATTGTGTAAGTGTCCAGTGTTCTCAACTCAGAAAATCATGATTTTTTAGGGGTGGACGCTTACCCGAGTACCCTCTTCAGACACAAGTACAAATGACAATTTTTATTCACCATATGAACTATTTCCCATTATTGGTTCACAGTAATTTCTCAGAAAGAAAGTGTTCAATGAAATAAAATACCTAAATTGTCTTAACAGAAGACAGATAATGTCAGATAATCGATATAAGCTCTCCTATGAATAACCCTTTAAGATTTAAGATTTGAATTGAGGACTCATCAAGGTTCGGCTACCAATGATCTACTGGCTTTCATGCGATTACTATTTGTTACTGATTCTAATTAACTGTTTTTTTATTTACTAAATTTCTTGTCTAGTTCCATAAATAATAGATTTT